GTAAATTTTAAATTATTCGCAAACTACTGTTAATTTCTTGATTTCATGTTTGTTGTTTTAAGTTTTTAGATGTCGGGAAAGTTTTTATAATTTTAAACTTTTCAGGGTATTTTGTGCAATTTTAAAACTTTTTAGGCTTTTTACAATACTTTATATATTATAGTATGTTAGCTACGTATAATTTCTTTATCTTAACAAACTTATACCATGAAGATGTTTTATATATTTTATTAATATTATTTTTAAATTGTTAAGCTATAAATACTTCACATAGGATTAGGATAGGATATAATTATGACTAAGATAGATTAAAATATAAATAAAATATTTAAAACAGTGAAGGGCAATATTGACCACAGAAAGATTTTCCCGAACTCGTGCTTTTAAAGGGAACATGATCCGCGATGAAGTTTGGGTTTAATTACATATTTGGCTTAGAGAAAAAAAAGCAAAACGTTACTGGAGCTAGAAAAAAAAAACCAAACTAGTAATAAAGGTGTACAGAAAATACCAATCAGGTGTATTTTTTTCAGCCGACTTGACTTCTTTAGGTCTAGGCCAAAACAAAGCTATATTAGCTTGAACCAACCGGGCCCATAAATAGTAATCTACTCTTCTATACTTAGGGGCTGTTTGGTTCGTTTCTTACATATAGGGAAATGCATTTCTATGTACAAAAACACAAGTTTTGAGTTTTCCAAAATTTTCCAAAAAATAGATTGTTTCCCTTTGGTTCGCACAAAAAAATGGTGGGAAACCAATGTATTTATTTTTCTTGTGTTTAGTTCGCATGGAAAAAAAGGAAAAATTTTCTTTATATGGCAAAAAGCCGACGTGGCTGTAGTTTTCGTCGATTTCACGAGGTTTGAGGAAGGAATTGGAGGAGAGAAAAAAATCTGATGTGGCGGCGATTTTCACCGAGTTTCCCTTCTTCAACCCTAGCTAACCAAAGATGAGAAAAAAAACCGACGGAAAGCTTATAGCCTACGTGGCCACAAAAAATCTGATGTGGAGGCGGTGTAAAACTTTTCCACCGAGTTAAAAAACGAACCAAACAGCCCCTTAAAGGAGAACCCAAAGAATTACCATTCAAGCTATAGTAAAAAATGCTATAGTAAATACTGCATAATAAACAATAAATCAAATATGGATCTCGGTACTCAAAGGTACTGTTCATACTATGATATTTTACTGTAGCATAAATAGTAAATCAAATCGGCTCCTCTATGCTTAAAGTTACTAATTATGATACAATAAACATTAAAACTTAAAATATATATAATTTAGTGTATCATAAACAGTAAAACAAATCAAATGTATTAAAATTTAGATCATTTTTTAAATATAAAGGAGTATATATAATTTTTAAATTAAATATATTAAAACTTGTATCTTCTTTAAGTATAAAAGAATAGATATAATTTCTAATTTTAAATATATAATAATTAAATCAAATGTATTAAATATTAAAACTTAAAGGATCAGACTAAACCCTAAGGCTGCGTTTGGCAAGGGGCTAAATGAGGGGTTAAGGTGGTTTAACCCCTCATTAGCCTGCCAAACATAAAAAAAAAGCAAAGGGTTAACAAACCCTCACGTGACCCCAAAAGCACATTTAACCCGTCAAAAGAAGGGTTAACAATTCTTCGCAAGAAGGCGGAACAAGGCTTGTTCCGCCTCCTCACGCGAGGGTAGGCAGAGGAATTTAGAAAAAAAATTCATCTGGATCATCGTTCTCTCGCTGTCTTAGTCACTCTCCTCCACTTTCTCCTCTCTTTACTCAGCACTCTTTCTCCTCTCTTTACTCAGCACTCACTTTTCAAGCTCTCTAATGGCGGAATCGATCGTCGATTTCGGTGGGGGCAGTCATGAAAAGATTGCTCCTTTCTGCTTCCATCTCTTGATTTTGGGCTAATTTTAGCGCGAGCTGTCGGTTTGGGGAGTGGTCGGTTGTTGAGCTTCAGAATTAGGGCTTTAGTGGCGAGGACTTGGGGCTTCTTCTTCGAGAGCAGAGGAGGCATGAATTAATCGATCGAGAGCGAGAGCGAGAGCTTGACATGTATAGGAGTGGTTCCTGTCCTCCGACCGTCGAAGGATCCCTAAACGCAATTTTCACACAGGTTAGTGTTTATTGTATTTGTTTTTTATTTTTATTGTTTTGAAAATTTGTTGATACACCCAGCTTGCTCATGTGGTATGGTTGACAGTGAACCGGTTGACCTTGTATATTTGTCTTTGTAGCATCAGCTTGTATGAGAATGTTGTTATTGAAGATCTGATTGTTTATCATTTGTTTGTTACAATTTGTGTTTCATGAAATCTTTTATCCTCTCCTACTTTGAATTGTATTGGTTCTTCTCATAATACAATTATTATGAAGATATTTAGCATTTGTTTGTTTTACTTCGTGCATCTCTAGTTTTATAAATCTCCATATTTTGACCTGTATTTATCTTTCTAAACTAATTTTGGGATTATATTATTCGTGGAGATAAAGAGCTACCCCTTTATAGGTGATGTTGGTGATTGTCTTAGAAATGCTTACTGCTGCTAGAATGGCTCAATGAGTGCTGCAAATCGGTCTCATGGAAAAAGTGTTCTGTTGTTACAGAAGGGTCATTGATGCTCATGCTCCTTTAGCAGTTCTTCTCTTCTCAGGAAATCATGGCAAGACATATCACCAGTTAGACTGTGAGAGAACGTCATGCAATAATATGCAATAGTCTTTGTTGAGAGATTTGAGAATTGGTATCCAGGTTCCTACTGGAAGGACTTTGGTTCATTTGATCTCCCATATCACCTTACAAAAACCTGCAAATTGAGAATTCACTTCATTTGATCTCCCATATCACCTTACAAAAACCTGCAAATTGTGATTCATGGGATGTGCCTGTGAGAGTTCATGCGGATCTGTGTGCATTGACATATTCTTGCCAATGAAATGATGTGGTTTCCAGGAAATGACACTTGTTGTAGCGTATCTTATCGATGTCAAAACCCTGATATTCGTGACTTTGCATCATGAGTTGAAATATAGTTGGGTTTTTTGGTTCGAATTTGTGCTTGTTGTCGAGCTGTTGGGGCTGTTTTTCCAGTCACTATGCTGATTCGAGCTTGTTTAGCTCTCTATTGTTGGGTTTTTTGGTTCGAATTTGTGCTCGTTGTCGAGCTGTTGGGGCTATTTTTCCAGTTACTATGCTTATTCGAGCTTGTTTAGCTCTCTATTGTTAGGTTTTTTGGTTCGAATTTGTGCTCGTTGTCGAGTTTGTGCTCATTGTCGGTGAGATTGCTGCAACTGTTTGTCTCACATTTGTTTGAGGTTGTGATAATTTGAATTGTAACTAAAATTTTCGATGTTTTGGTTATTTTACAGTAAGAACGAAGGGGAGAATGAGGGGATATCCGTAATAGGAAATCAAACAGTGAGAGAGCCCAGGGTTGTCGTACAGACAACTAGTGATATCGATATTCTTGATGATGGATGCCGTTGGAGAAAATGTAGGCAAAAAGCGGTGAAGGGAAATCCAAATCCAAGGTGAGCAAACAACACAAATTGACCTGCATTGAATTCAAATCTTAGAGACATATTCAATGTGCATATGACACTTATATATCATATAGTTCATATTTATTCACCAATATTTTTTTGAATTTCAGGAGCTATTACAAATGTACAACAGTTGCCTTTTGCCCACATTATCCCATTGGTTGTCAACAGTTGCCTTTTGCCCACATTATCCCATTGGCTCCCCAGGTTTATGTATGGTAGAATTGAGGTCAGTCACCACCTACAGCAGCGATGCCCTTTTCCTCAACCAAATGACTCAAGTTTCGGCTATGTTAAGTTCAATTTTGTAGTGTTTGCTTTGGAAATTTTCTCGCTTTGTTTTGTTTTTACTTTCAGGCGGGATCTCTGCTGAAATTGGCTACGGGTTTGGTTTTCTATATTGCTGGGAATGGAGTGTTTTGCTCATTGTTTTAGTGATGAAATTTGCTATGGGATTGGCTTGTTATATTGCTGGGAATGGAGAATTTTGCACATTGTAATACTGTTGGAATTTGCTAGGCATTTGGATTGTTATATTGCTGGAAATCTGCGGGGTATAGCTTGCTTATGTATGGTTGAGGATAAACCATGTTTTGTGGACTACATTTTTATCTTGTATTTTGCTCTGGAGCTACATGTCTAAAAGCTCACAAGCCTTTTGTAATAGTTTTTGCTTCTTAGAATTTTGTAAGGGTGAGGGTTGTCTCACTTTAGAATTGATCACTCTCATTTCACAATGAGAGGCGATACCATGTAGTTTCTTTTCCTTTAATGGTATTCTACTCTTCAAAAAAATCACAATAGCCACACAAATCAAACTCCATTTACATTGGAGATGCTTCAAGCTAACATTGGCTATGGATACTCTAACTATGAGAATTCCTGAATTCTTACATGAATTATCAACATCAGCAACAATAGAGTATGTATCAGAAAGCGAGGATGAACCTAGAGAAGACTTGTTCATTGAGTCATTTTTGTGTGGAAACATGAGCTAGTTCAAATGCTTTTTTCGACACTGTACAAGTTGTTCTCTGACAATAATATGTTGTAGTAAAATGGTAGTTTTGTATATTCCTGATAGGGTTTTGTGTGTAAATCTTGAGAAGTTGGTCTTAGAGAACCTTAGTCACATTTGTTTATTACTATTTTAATTTTATTTTGGAGGTCCTTTCAGATTGAAAAATAATGGATCTTTGAATACTGTTGTATTATAAATCTTCAATAAGGACGAAAGTGGTATTTTTTAAAAAAGTCATGAGATTAATCTCCTTAACCCCTCTTTATTTGCCAAACACAAAAGATTTAACCCCTTGTCTTAACTATCATATCCAAACGAGTTTAGAATTTTTTTAACCCTTCATGATGGATTAACTAAGTTAACACTTCTCTTTAATCCCTCCACCTTAACCCTTTGCCAAACAGGGCCTAATGTCGCAACATTCGCAAGAGTTTTAACAATCGGATCGGGTCCATTCTCACATATATAAACCCTATCCTAAACCCTCATCGTCCTCATTTATCGCATCCGTCATGGGTGAAGAAGAGAAAATCGACCCCAAATTTGATGAACTTGCCCTAAACACTCCTCCTAAAAGCGCCGTCTCAGATCATCGGACGCCTGAAGAGTTGGTAGCGAAGGCTATAGCGCCGGTGAAGGCGGAGTACCTCCGCCCTCCGCCGCCGTCGAGGCCGCGGTCGAACGACGACGCAGTCGACGATGATGCCAGCGAGAGGAAGAGAGCCGCTGTTACCCCTTCTGGCGTTGTTAAGGAGAAGAAGTCCAAGCGCCAGCTCAAGAGAGAGCGGCGTCAGGTCAGTGTAATTTGCTATGCGATCTCGATCACTTGCAGAGATTTCTTTTGATTAAAAGGACGCATCTTTAACAGTTTTCCAGTGATGTGGTTTTATGATTTGTTCTATTCAGTTGTGCTAAAGTTGAGGAATTGATAGTTTAGTTTTACTGGAGAATTGGTGGGTTTCTCTTTTGTTAAGTAAATCTTTGTTGCTTCATACACATTGCACGGTGATGACCTTAGTCTATGCCATTGATTTTTCTTAGTGTAAGTAAGCACTTTGATCTCCTGAAGAAAATGTTGGGATGTACTGTCATTAAGCAGCAACCAGGCTTTTATGTTTGAGATATGAGAGTCTTTGGCAAATTTAAGCTTAAAAATATACTACGCATAGATTATGAAAGGGCTAAATATTTTATTGTTTTCACATCTACTCCTTTACCTCTTCATGAATTTGTGGAACAATGACTAGGAACCTGGACGAATCTGCACGATGGAGGTATGTACGCTAGAGGAATTAATGAAAAGGCATACTGCGGAAACCATGTATTAGATTGCTTCTTGCGGTAGAAAACTCAGTGATTGTGACCTTTAATTAACTTGGAGTTGGAAGCGCAATTTATTCTCTCCCATTTTAATTTGTTTTTCAAGATATCTTCTCAAATTGTTGGAAAAAGGCTGCAAGGAAGAGGGAGTAAGGAGAAGGATTAAGCTAGTTAAATGATTGAAGAAAGAAGTATAAAGTTGGGTAGCAAGTTAGATGAGTTTTATTTTAGCCTTCATGCTCATCACTAGTGTTTGGGAGTGGAGAGGTTATAGCTAAACAATTGATTAAAGAGGTATTAAATTTGTTAGCCCGTTGGTGAGATTTATTTAATCTTTGTGCTCTTATTTAGTTTGGAATAGAGAGGATTATTACTACTTTACTTATAGATAAAGGTTTACATCTAACCCTGTCTAAGGAGTTGGATCAGCAAACCCTTCACATTTAGAGATTAACTCATTTTTACCTGTCTAGAAGGCTTCTTAACCCATTTGTAATTTTTGCATTTAGCAAATTAAGATGGATTAAGTCACTTTATTCCATGTGTAAATTTTTTGTTTTGCAGGTTAAGGAGAGATTAAACTCTCCTCAACCCCTTAATCAACCCATTGCCAATCAACACCTTATAGATTTTGAGTTGTATCTTAATCTTAATCTTTGCTCAAAATTATTTTGAAAATTGAATTAGTCTTAAAATGACTTTGAAATTCCTTTGACTGCAGTTATATCCTAAGCTGTAAATCCTATTCTCCTAAGTCCAATGGAATCATATCAGAGCTAATAACCATTTTGTCCTATGCTGGACCATGAGCAATGCAAATTTAAATTCGAAGGCAGCCTGGATGTGTAGTTTTGTTGTGCTATGCTATTGCTTTGCTCTTACTAACTGAATGGGTAATAGATATCCATTCAGTGCTACTTATTGAATTTAAAGTTTTGATGTTTTGCATTTAAAAATTAGTTTTATACTCACACTTTTTGCACAAAATCAGGAACAAAAGTCTGCACTAAACATTTGCCCAGTAGTAGCTAAACGTGGAAGTGGTGATGCATGCACTTATGGTGATAAGTGCCGTTTCAGCCATGACTTGGATGCTTTCCTCGCTCAGGTATAATGTTATAGATTATTTATCAATTCTGTGTAAAATATGCATTTGGCAGTCACACTTGTCAACACTTCTAATGAATAGAACTTCATTGCTTGCAGAAACCACCTGACCTAGAGGGGAGTTGTCCTTTCCTTGATGCTGAAAAGTCCTGCCCATATGGGATAACTTGTAGATTCTTGAGTACACACAAGAGAACCAGTCAAAAAATAGAAAGCCTGGCTTCCTCCAAGAAAACCCATGAAATCAATAAATTAAACAAAGATTTTCAGAGACTATTGTGGAAGAACAAAGTCACTTTTCCAAAAGCAGATGCTCAACTCAAATTGCTTGGATTAAGGGTATTGCAAAGTTGGTGGACCTTTATTTCCATATGCTGAATTTATATTTCAGTAATTGTCCCAGATTTTATGTTTGTCACCCTTATATGAGAAATCTTTAAATGTTACCAAAATTTCAAGATTCTCTTTATCTTTGATATTTTAGAAAATATTGTCAACGTTGTTGCCTGCTCAAAGCATTTCCACTTCAGTGTTTCATGGATATATAATTCCTCGTTTTTCCACTTTGGCTTAAGATGTCAAGGCACCGTTTTACGAGATCTATTGTTATGATGTGTTTGAAAGATCCTTTGGAAACAGAATGTCCGAGAAAAAAAAGTGTGAATTCTAATTCTTAGATTGCTTTCTGGTGTGTGATACTTAAAAAAAGGAAAAATTTCCAAGATTAACTTGCATGCTTATAAATCATTGAAACAAAATGTTGGTTCTTTTCTGAAATATTTTGTAAATGCTGATATCCGACTTTTCTCTTGCTGACTAAACTGAATTTACAGGTAGGTAACAATACAAAGGCAGAGCCAGAAATGTGTGAGGGGGCAAGCCTGGAAGATAATTTAAATGGATCACATGAGCTTCATGTGGATGATAGTAATGAGACGCCTAGCGGAATAGTAGATAACACAAAGTGTGCTTCAGTAGAGTGTACAGAAAAGGATTGCCTAGAGGGGACGTTGGTCACTAATGATACACGACCTTTGAAGAAGATTAAGTGTCCTAGTGATGAACCGTGCCCCTCCACTGAAATAAGTAACGGTTAGATTATTGTCTTAAATTTTCTTTTCTCTGCATATGTAACACATTTGTGTGCACTGCAACTGTCTTTGTTGATGCTGTAATTTGACCATGCACATGTGTTCCACAAACTAATTCAGAGGAGCTTAAAGCGGAAAACAATGTGGATCAAATTTCAGCTGATAATAGCTCAGGTTCATCTGAAGTTGATATGAGTTTGCGACCACATCCAAGGGAAAAGAAACTCATTGATTTTAGTAGAAAGCTGTATCTGGCACCTTTAACTACTGTTGGTAACCTTCCTTTCAGAAGGATTTGCAAGATGTTAGGAGCTGATATTACTTGTGGAGAAATGGCCATGTGTACAAATCTCTTGCAGGTAAGTCCTAAGTATTTGTGCCCCATATTGCAAATTTACTAAAGTAAATAGACTGCCATTGTTTTTTCCTGATCGTTTTTAGCTGCAGTAATGAATCAGAGAGAATTTATTTAGTTAACTGATCTTACCTAAGTAAAAAATGGTGGCTATAGGCATTTCACTTATTAGTTGAATTTCAAGAAGGAATTCCACCATAACGTACTTCTATGAAGGATACTTTGACATTCGATTCAATTAAAATTCTACTTATCCATAATGAGAAATGTTATTCTATTTCTTTTTAACTTAAGTCCACTGAGAAACCAATTATTTCTTTGTCCATCGATGCCCTCTCAGAATCCACACTCACTTGTCAGATATTTTCAGAAGAGGCATCAAGTTAATGCATCATTGCATTCTAGCAATAGTTTTATAGATATAGATTTTGAATCATTTTCCATTCTTTTTTGTTTTCATAAGCTAGTAAACATATGCATATTATTCTATGAATTATTTTCTCTAGAGTCGTTGAGCTTGCTATAGTTGCATGGTGGTAAGAATTAGGCCAGCAGAGCATAAATTGACTTCCTCTCAAAAGCGCTGTGACAACTGTAGAATATGCATATTATGCCTGTTATAAAGTCCAGCAAAAGTTTCGATGGTATTGGAAGCATCAAGGAATTATCTCAGTGGTAGTGCCTGAAAATCACATTTAAGGTGGAGTAATGGACTTGCGTATCCTGCATGTCTTATCATGGTTGGATAATGTTAACGAATCATAGATCAGTGATAGGTGATAGCAGGATCCTTTCTGTTGGGGTAGTTTGTTAGAATAATCAATGTGTGCAATTCCTATATTTCTTATTATTCTCAAGGATAAAAAAATGCATTATGTTTGATGTATGATCCATGATGCCATCGCCAATTTCTACTTTTAAATTAGGACAGAATAAGCACCCATTGGCTTTTGAAGTTAAAAAAAAGGAGTTCGGAGGTTTCATAAAGTTACCAATATTGGATCTTGCTCAGAATGTTTGTAAAAGCAAAAGAACAAAGATGTCGCCGAATTCAAGGATGAGTCTTTTCTAGGTGAATATAACAAAACATTTTAGTTTACCTCAATCAACTGAGGATACTTCTCTTCAAGCCAAAAATCAAATACTGCTTCTGGATTGCATGACTATTTCAAGATGGTTTTTCCACTGGAAGGTCTATTTCCTGTATGATTATCATCTCTATGGGTCAATTCAAACATTACATATGTCAAAAAGTTAACTTGCAGCATCATCCATATGCATGAATCTCTATCTATGTGCTTTCCTTTATCTGTAGAGGTGTTTTATAGCTTTTAGTTGTAATTTATGTCTTTATTTGATCAGTCTGTGACCGAAGAAGGCTATTGGGACTTAAGTTAACAAAATTGTGTGTATATATGATAGTTATGGTTTCTAACTTTTAGACCTTATCTGTGCTCATCCCTTTTCGCTTTTGGTTTTGTGATTTAAGAGGGAAATAATTTGTTCTTCAATGTACCTTCACTGTATTTTTTTTTCTTCAATATCAACTTCTGCTGTGATTTCTTCTATTTAGTTGTGAATTTGAATGGGCTTCTATTTCTACCACCATGTGGTAGAATGTAGTCTGATTCCTCATGTAACAACTCCATTTGTTCTTTAGCAAAGGGTTGCCCTTGTGGAGAGATGATAGAGACATAAAAGCATGATGGTTTGTAGCTCATTGAAGAGATCACTAAATCTTTTAAAATATAGAACTTGACATATCTATCGGCCTCCTCTTGTTGGGCTTAAGTTGGTGTCCACATCATAGCAAACTAGTAGTGAAAATATGAAATACTGAAAATGTTGACTATTGCTAGCATCAAATTTGTGAATGAAGTACTTCTTACTTATTCTTTTGATGAAGCAGCATTTTTAGTTTAGGAATTGTTATTTTTGTTGTCCTTTACTTTATTTTGACATGGAAAGTAACTTCAAGATTTAAATCTAAAAGCTTATCTGTTCAAGGCTTCATAGCATTTATTGACTGTTATCGATATCTTAATTCAACGCCTATATATCCGATGAGCTTCCACAGGGTAAATTGTATTAGATGAGTGCTTTCAATTTTTGGATGTTGATTGGAATTACTTAACTTAATTGATAATCTGCAATTGAGGTTGCATTCAATAGATACTGTTTGTTCATCAATAGTAACCATTGTTTGAATTTTAGGGACCGCTTCTGGAGTAAAGGTATCTGTTAGAATGTGTTATTAGTTTCTGGATGTTAACACTGTTTAATCCATCTTGATCAGAAATATATGCATCTTTGAGTATACACACATGCGCATGTGCATGCACACGTCTTGTTTAAGATGGTAAGGAAAAAAGTAACATATGACTGGTGTGTCTTATTAATGTCAGTTTATAAACTCAAGCCACCTGGATGGCTGAAATTATGGTTGGTTGATGCGTTTCTTTGCCCATCATATATGAACTCTTGTTGTGCTTCCCTGGCTGTATTGACTAATCTTCATTAGGATCCGAGGTAAATGTTCCCTTTTCTGCTAGCTGGTTGTCATAGCCTTAGAGGAGTACACTGACTGGTTTACTAATAAAAGTAATGCCACCCAGTGCCGTCTACAAGCCACATCCGAATCATAATTTTTCATCAGTATGATTTTCTTGTACTGTTGGTGAGTTCCTCTCTCATTTTTCTGTTAGTGGGCTATGTTTGGTTGCACTCTAAAACTTTCTGTTGGCTAATAGTCATCTCTAAGGAAACATGGAGTTGCATATTACTAATCTTGCGTGAAAGTTTATATCTACTGTGGATTGAATTTGGAGTTGGTGGTCGCTGACTTTTGAGTAGGCATTAAAAAATTTGATTAATTTATCCCCACCCGGTTATTCTGTATATACATGAGTATGGTTTGAGTGATTCTGGTGCAAGTGAATTTTGGTAACTGGTTTTTATCTTTTTTTTAAAAAAATCTTTTTTCCCCAATAGATTTTGGATTTGAGTTTCATAAAATGTTCTATACAAATTGACTCCTTTTTTGTGTACTGGGGAATGCTTTAGGGTCAAGCTTCAGAATGGGCATTACTGAGGCGCCATTCGTCAGAGGATATTTTTGGGATACAGATATGTGGATCATATCCAGATACGATAGCACGAACTGTTGAACTTGTAGATCGCGAGTGTGAAGTTGATTTTATTGACATTAATATGGGTTGCCCAATTGATATTGTTTGTAACAAGGGTGCTGGATCTTCTTTGCTTACAAAGCCTATGCGAATGAAGAGCATTATTCAAGCAGCTTCTGGCACAACTGACAAGCCTATTACTGTGAAGGTACTATAATTATCAGTCATAGCAATTATGGGAGAAGCAAAAGCTTAGGCTTGTTTTCTTTATAGCTGTATTCTGAAAATCCTTACTGAAGGAGCAAAGAATATTTCCTTACAGACACTGTTTTTTCCCCTGTTGAGGATTGTTCATACGATTCCAATATGATTTCCCAAAAGTTTGAAAATTTTCTTTTCAAAACCAGGTGCGTACGGGGTACTTTGAGGGTCGAAATCGTATTGATTCTCTGGTTTCAGATATTGCTCAGTGTGGCGCCAGTGCAATTACCATACATGGTCGATCACGACAGCAAAGGTACAGCAAGCTTGCTGATTGGGACTATATCTACCAATGTGTAAGAAAGTCCCCCAACACATTGCCAGTTCTGGGAAATGGTGATATCTTTTCATTCACTGAATGGAATAAACACATAACTGAGTGCCCTGAGCTCTCAACTTCTATGATTGCTCGAGGTGCTCTAATTAAGGTTTTTATCTCTATTTTGACTTATGAGGCTTCTTTAATTATGGTATGTAGAGATACCTTGACGGATGTATTGATTCATATGTTCTGATTGTACTCTTCTTCATGGGCAGCCGTGGATATTTACTGAAATTAAGGAACAACGGCATTGGGACATTAGTTCGGGGGAGAGATTTAATATTCTGAAGGATTATGTGAACTGTGGTCTTGCACAGGCATTGGGACATTAGTTCGGGGGAGAGATTTAATATTCTGAAGGATTATGTGAACTGTGGTCTTGCACATTGGGGTTCAGATTCCAAGGAAGGATTATGTGAACTGTGGTCTTGCACATTGGGGTTCAGATTCCAAGGGTATGTTTTAGTACTTTCTTTATATTTGGATTACTCCATATAATCTGGAAAGGGTCTCATCTTATAGTTGACTGGTATATTCATGTGTAGTGCATTATTTCATCAATCTCTATGTTACAATAGAATATCAAACCATGCTCATAGTTTTGTCACATATTTCTAGTGTGCATTTTGTCTCTTTATACAAAAAAATTGGAGAAAGGCACCCGATATGTTAGATGGACAACTGAAGAATCAAGAGCGCATGCTTCTAAATGATTTTGGTATAAAATGTTTTAGTTACTTCTGCTTTTTCTCATCACAATCACACAGTTTTTGTGAATAGGAATGGGGGCAATTTGTCATCTAAGATATTAACAGTTGATACTTTCTACAAACAGTGATAAATTAAAGGTGATATATGCAAGATGCTAGAAAAATCGAAAGTAAGGAAAAGCTAGCATTTGTAACTAATGTTTTATATGGAATTAAAAAAAGAAAAGAAAAAATGGACTTAATTCTAGGCGCTTCTTTCTTCTTATAATTATAGGGTGCTAGAACTTGCTATTAAACTGCACGACTCATGCACATGCATGTTGCACTTGGAAACCTAACCTTAGAAACTAGGGATTCCTGTACTAGTGCAGGCTTAAAAAGAATTAATGAATGTAGAGAGGGAAAGATATATACTTGGGATGTCAGCTGCCAAGTTCAAGCAAACATTTTTTCCAGTTTTGTGAAATGACTTTCTACAACTCATTCTGGTTGCCTTATATAGTTTTACATGAATAAGATAGATAAAATTGATCTTATGTCTGTACAAACACAGATATATAATACAAATACGGCATGCTATGTGCATGCGGATATGACAACTCTTGAAAGTTAAGGATATGAATACCTCGTGGCTTGCGGATATGGAAGGTACATAATTTTATCATGTATATGAGCTAGCTAATGTTATTTAAAATGGATTCATAAGGCCACACCTGTTAACAAAACAGCAAATCAGGTAATAAAAATATATCGAAGTTCCGTACTACTCAGAATATTCATGCCATCATTAAGGAAGTAAAATCACCTCTGAATCAAATGGTCAAATGAAACATGAATCTATTATTCCTTTACTATCTTTTTAACTCAGTCTCAGATGTACTTTTGATATGTTTGAATATTTTTGGAATATTAATATAATTTTAGGATACTACTAGGACTATCTAGCAAAGTATCCAAATGTGCAAGTATCAAATGTGCGTTGGATATGAATGTGTTCTCTTGGTTGTGAGTATTCAAGCAACATAGAAGGAAACCTTACTGATGTAAAGAATCAATTAAAGGCAAACATAATCATCTGAATTACAAACAAAGCTAACAAATGTAATCCACTGATGACAAGCCAATAACCTACGAAGATTCTAAAAAACATCTATTGAATGCTAACTGATGAACCTTTTATTTCTTCTATTTAGATCAGATAAAGGCCCAAAAACTGCAGTTAAAAAACTGCAACTGAAAAATAACTTTTATAATCATCGATTTTGGTTTTCACTGCTTCTTGTCCATGAGTTTCTTCATGTTGCTTAATGTCCTTTTATGTTGGTCAATTGCTACTTTCTCTTGGGATTTTTATGATTCTAGCGACAAGTTTTTTCGTACTATTCTGCCTAATATTTTCTTAATTTTTTGTGACTTGATGTGAGTACGATTATCTAAATGTGACCGTTATGACTAATTTGATCAATTATTAGTTAGCCTTATTATTATTGCAGAACCAGAGTAACAAAACATATATTCTAAATCTCCCAAACCTTTAGTGTCTGCGTAAATCTTTTTTCTCCATTAAATTGTGATTGAGCTGAGGACTTGTCCTTTGTTAGATTAACTCATTAGTATATCCTTTTTTTTACCGATGTCTTATTCTGGTCATTCACTCCATCACTTGTGCTTAAACGTCTTCTGTTTGGAATGATAATTAGGAACAATTGAAAAGCAATATTATCTAATGTTCTTTTCGTTGTAACTATTTGGAAATTTGTAACTGCAGCTACCTGCATGTATAAGTTATTGACGCATGGTCGGTCAGGCAAAATTGTCCCAAAGGCGTACATATTTTTTCATCAATGTTGGATTGATAATGTTAAATCTCTCTTAAAGGTTTTCCTGTATTCAAGGCACTTACCCTCGACAAAGTTCAGATGGCTGTCTTTGCGTAGTGTGCCTGCAGAAATATCTTTACTCTTATTGTTAATTTTATGTTAACTTCCATATGTTTGTCATTATTCCTCTGCTGGTATCTTTTTAGCTTTGGAAACGTACAACTTAATTGCTCTGCTCATGGATGAATTTGTCTGCATCTAATCCATTACGCTTCACAAGATCGGTTACCAATCTCTCTGATTAGTAACTTCTGATGCCTATAGGTGTGGAGACAACACGATATTTCCTGTTGGAATGGCTGAGTTACACGTACAGATACATTCCAGTTGGTTTATTGGATATCATCCCTCAACGACTAAATTGGAGACCTCCCAGCTTTTTTGGTCGTGATGATCTTGAGACCCTAATGGCTTCAGATTCTGCTGCTGATTGGGTATATTCCTATGACTGTATTTTTTTTTATTTTTCTTGTTCTATTTGAGCTGAGTTTATTGTCACTTTTGATCAGATACGCATATCTGAGATGCTGCTTGGAAAGGTTCCAGAAGGCTTCACTTTTGCACCGAAACATAAATCTAATGCCTATGATCGTGCAGAGAATGGCTGATTCTCATAGAAGTTGTTTTTCACTCTGCTTCATATGAGATGTGGTTATCTGCTTGTATCCCATTTCACCAGGCAGGAAATATATATGTTTGCCGGAGGACAAAGTTAAGAGCTTCAGAATTACTTCTGCATGTTTCTATTGGAGGTTGAGTGTGATTTGATAAACATGGCATCAGTATATGCCAAATTCGTCATTGTTGTCTAATTCATAGTATCATGGCATCTGTGTATTACTTTCTTTCGTAGTTTATGTCCAAATCCGGAGATATGACTACTTTGAACAGAAGCAAATGGCATCAGCCACGGTGAAAACCCATTTGTCTCCGTACTTTTGAGGATCAAAAAGTGTGATTCAATAGCTCAACAAACTGAATGGATGTAGGGAGTTTCTTTCAGCATCATGCTTCATTCCCAAGTTTCAGGCACTGCAGTTGAGAAAACTGCAGGTTATTATCCTCATCATGCTTTCTTGCAAGAATAGAAACAGGTTGTTGGGCTGTGATTTCTATGTTTCTTCTAATAAAGCCCTGGCAGCTGAACCCCACAAGAAAAATGAATGAGAATCCTGTCAAGAACCTGGACCACTCTGCTACAGAGATAAGGCATGTGAGGTGCACATGATTCTAGATCTGTATGCAGGGTTGAAGAGTATTAACTAATTGATTTGGTGTTCAGAATCTTGCTGCCAGCTAGGAACATGCTCTTCTAACTCTGAATCATTAGAGAGAGGATGTTATTGTCTAAAGTGGCAGTTAACAGGACAAATTGAGATATTTAATTAGAAAGGTCTGAGTAAGGTTTGCAGTCTTGATAAAATTTTCAATTATAACTGTTAACATTTTGTCAAGTAATTAGGTAAGTGTCTTGTCTAATAGATTGAGTTCGACAAAGTACCTTGTCGAACAGAAAGTTTTCTCAAGTAGCGTCAACTTTTTATTGGCTGTTACTTGGATCGTGTTAATGGTCTGTGATTGACTCTTTTTTTTTCACCAGTGAGTCACTAAAATTGTTCTTCTAATTGGATTGTGTATGCTCTCAGATACAATGGTCCTCTCACTACATTAGAACAATAGAACTCCCAAGTTTTGATGGACACGTATAAAATTACTTTTTTGTCCTAATAAATTACGTCCAAAAAGTATGGGCAGTTAGGAAAACGTATCGAACAGTCCGTTATTAAAGTACAAAGGAGAGGATCTAAATGAGAAAATAATATCGTGGCAGACGTTACACCCGGACTGAATTTAAAAAAAAAAAAAACCTTTTCAGGGGGTTTACCCGCAACAATTGATTTGAGTCGGGGATCTATCAGCAACAGTAGAACTCTTTTTGGGTTCAATACGCAACAAACGGGGGCAGTATGATTAATTTGGCAATAGTACGAGGAGGTCTATCCGCAGTTAACCTCATTAATATCTGTTCTCACCAAGCTCCTTTCCTCAAGCAGTACTAGCGTCCAAAAACTTGCCAAAATAAACCTCGCGAGTTACTTTTCTCAAGCGTGACGGCCAGAATTCATGCTTCCACCATCAGAGTTTTCGCTTTTATTAAGAAGTGGATCCGAAGCGTGAGCGAGGCTAGTCTGCTAGCTCATGCTCACCACGTGACACACACATGATCTCAAACCTGAACAAGGACCGGCTTAAGTAACCTTCTGATGAAAAATCCACACAGGACACAGAGGCCCCTTGCTCTCCAAATGATGGACATCTTTTTCAAAAGGGTGCTAAGGACACTTCATCTCCTGGCCATCAATAGCCTGCTTTCTTCATGTGATGTGCGGGGCTCCTCACCAAGCCTTTTTGTTTGTCAGGACTCAGGACTAAGTTGGGGGCCATAAAAGCCATTGCCCAGGTCTCAATCTTTTGTTAGGTTTGTAGATTAATTTAAAGGAAGTTGGTAACCGGAGAGTACATTTCTTCATATATGTTATTGTTGTTGACGAAGAGGAAGGAGGAGAACTTGGCATAATTAAGTAAGCTTGTCGTGGTACTATCAACAAAAAAAGTGTAGCTGGACATCGTCTCTATGGGCTTGATGCATCTAATATTAACTAGCTAGAAGTTTGTTAGGGTAGGGTACTAGATATGCTAACAAATGGAGGTCTCTACTTCGAGCTGTGGAAACAACATCTTATAAAAAAAATGTAAGGCGATACTGCGTACAATAGGCTCAAAATGATCTAACATCTTACCAGACCCCCGCGCATGGTGGGAGCTTCATGCACCAACTTGCACTTTTTTCTATGTTGATCACGTCATTCAATATTTTGACAATAAGTTACCATTAGAAGAAGAAGGAAAAAAAAGATTGATAACCTTTACTCCCAAGTCATTGGATGGGTAAATAAACATTTTCAAATCAAGATTGAGTCATGAATGATTTGGTTGCTTGTGTTTACCAATTATAAAGGAAACTAAAATGTGTTCAGTGACATGTTTCTGAATACCACATATAGTTAGGTTTCAAAATGAGTGAGTATTTACTCGATACATAAAAGTATACTAACTATCCATTGTTACCAAGTGTTCTCCCATATATCGTGTTCAAATAGTAAAAAAGGCAAGCCATCAATTGAAGCATCACACTTTATTCACTGTAGTTAACATTGTCGAATACTATCGGAATACACAGTTTATTCACTGTAGTTAACATCGTGTTCATCTGAACTTAGTTTAAGAAATGATCTAAAATTACAACGTAATTAAAACTATAACCACTAATAATTTATCCAGATTCTTGCAAGTATCATGACCGAGACCCAACCTGACCCAACTTATGCCAACGCGACCAGACCGTGGAACCCGAAGTTAAAACAGCGGACACCAAAAGCATCATAAAACCCAAGTTAAATATGGATTTGAATTCCGGTTGGCGAGCTCCAACGCCGAGCGAGGCACATAAATAATGCTGAGCCAGAGCTGGAGCTGCGAGTCTATCGATTTACTACATTGTTACGATCGAACAATCAACGGATAAAAAGGAGGAGAGCAATTAAATCAAGAAGGAGAAAAAAAGGGGAAAAAAGAGAGGGGAAAAAAAATGGGAAAATCGCCGAACTCGTGCTTCAAGATCATCTCTTGCGGTGCTGAATCCACTGACGCCGACGATGAGCTCTTGCCGCCGGAGGTATCCGATCGTTCCCTTCGCATTTCACTTCGAAATTAGGGTTCCACGTTTTCGTGCAAAATTAAACCTAGGGTTGTCCTAGTTAATTGAAATCTGAAAGCTGGTTTCTGTCGTTTTCTTGAACTATTGCTTGTCGTAAGTATTAAGTAGATCAGCTGGAATTTGTTGGCATTGGTGAAATTTTCTATAAACTTGATCTTCTGAGCTTGATGCTGAAAATTTTCCACTCTCTTGGGCTTGATTAGTTTGTAGGGACTGTTAGACTGTAGGCGACTGTTAGAAATCGACGATGAAAGAGTGTCATGCGGTTACTGTCGGATACTGGTTTACTACGGACGTTGTGATCCATCAGATATTATTGCGTTTAGGTGCTGGATCTTACTCATAGACGACAAGCAGCAAAATTTGGAATCTTTTAGTTACGCGATGCTATAGGTTAGCGAAGACTGAGATCTTGTGGTTGTTAACGAGTTCATTCCGAATTGGGACAGCGATAGCAAGTAACTTGGTTGACCGTCTTCGGAAAACTTGGAGTAGAGAGATTTATTGGGGGAAAATTGGTAAATTTGTTTTCTGGTCAGTTTGTGAAAAGAATTTACACTTACGTGTGGATTTATCTATTTTGTTAAAACTACTCCTTTTTGTATTTAACAAAGAGAGAGAGAGAGACAAATCTTTTTACTAAAATGTGTTAACTGAACTGTTAAAAGTGTCATCAAACGATTATTTATGTTTTCCTTGAGAGAAGCCACACACCTGATTCCTAATTATAGCACTGTTGATGCATGAAGTAGTTGTACTTGTTAATTGTTCTCCAGGATTTTCTTAGTAATTACTCACTTGACGGATTTTTTCTGTTATTTATGTATGGATTTTCTTCATGATCATTATGATCATTAAAATATTTTCATAGGGTAGGCAAGTTCACAAAAAATATCAAATTTTATTTTATTTTATGTCAACCCTCTTTTAGCGTCAAATTATGGATACAGAAACTATGATTCAGGAGAGGCTTGGTGTAATCCTAGATGACTAGTTGACAACCAAAAAGGTTTCCTTAATTAGGGAAAAAGTATGGAAGTAAAACAACTTGAATTTTCTATAAAGAACAACATTAGGCACAGATGATATGAAAACCTGAACTCCCATATCCATATTGTTAAATTTCCATGCTTCTAAATACTTTTCTAATTTATCAATACTGAGAGAAATTACTAGCAGTTTGGTTTTGAAGAGAGGACACGTAACTTCATATTTGTCTTTTTAAGCCCGTTATCTTTTAGTTGATTCCCTCCTGGTATTCAGAAACTATTATCTATTGTATACTATATAGGCCTTACTTGATGTAGGGGTGCAACTAATATCTAAAATAGCACACTGTACAGATCTTGTTAGTTGGATTCAGATATGGGAATCAGTTATCTAAATGCTCTCAGAGAACAGAGGATTTGAGTAACATAGTGTCGCGCTCCACTAAATACCCTCTCTGCATGTTTTCTATATAGTAATTATGCTTTGCGTACGTATATAAGAGTATGATTCTCCTCAGAATGCCCCACAGTGAGTGGGACGTTCACAAGCACAACCATCAGTGGGTAGGCTAGTGGGGGTAATTTTGTCATTCACCCCACCCATCAGTGTCTGGGAATGCCCCGTCTCATGTGGGGCATTCTGAGGGGATTCATAGTGCCTACATAATTACTGCATTTAGCTAAATAAGAATCCTGATTATAAATACAAAAGAAACTTCCCATAATTATTATTTGCAAAAAAAAGTTATTAATAGATGTTTGGAAGACTCGACTTTTTGAATTTTCATAGTTGGACGTAGATTTCACCCACTGCTTAAAAGTGTCATGCCATAGAGCCTAGAGCTTGGTAATATTGCCCAGTGCTAAATGTAACAAAGGTGAGTGCCTGAGATGCCAAAGGTTACTAGCTGTTGGCAATGTATTAAATATTTATCGCGTAAATATTGGATGGCTAAAATCCATATCAGATTGCAAAAATCAGGAAATATCTGGGATATGTAAAAAAAATATCGTGGTGTCATATCAGATGATGTTCATACATAACATAACATTGTAATATGTAATCTAAATATTAATGAATTCTAAACATAAGAAATTGCATCATGATCTATGTTTAGGGTTTGGGAGAGCCGAGAGTGGAGAGATTTGGAGACGGATTGTGGCTTTTTGTGACTTTCGTGGGTTTGAGTTTGGATTGTGTGGAGTTAATTTGATTGTGGGTTTGGGTTTGGAACCCAAATCCTACCCAAGCCTGCACTCATAATCAAATTAAAAGCAACCTGATTCTGCTGATATATCAGGGGGAAAAATCTTAAAAAGCGAAACACGCTATAAAACCATAATTATCGTCATGATAAGGTCCTTAACCCGTATATCGGCCGATATTTAATACATTGGGTGTTGGCATCTCGGGTCCTCGCTTAAGGCATATGAGGTGAGGCATGACAGACACCTGCCTCTTTATTTTGAAATTTTAGGGGTTTATTCAGCCTCGTATTTTTTTGTGTTTATTTACATTAAGTGTACTGCATTGGGGTACACTGTATTTGAAGAGGAGTATAATCTGATGGTGAACATATCAAGTCAATTTAGGGTTTATTAAACATTATAATGCTTCGTTTCTGTCCCACTTCTTTCTCTCTTGGCCTTTAGCATCCATCTTTGACCACCCTAGCCCTCCTTTCTTAACAATGCAGTTTAGTTGTGGTGTGCACTACGTGTGCATTTCAGTTATGTCCCTACATGAAATAACCTTAAATTCATGTCCTGGGTATCATGTCATCTAGATTTATGACAAATTTAACTTCTGCCAACTGCTTTGATAATATGCAATTGATATCGGAGAAATCTAAGTTCTCTGAGTGTGGGAAGGTTTTTTTTTTTGTGGGGGGTGTGAGGGGGGGGGGGGGGGNGTTGAGGTTTTTATCTGGTTGTGTTGTCAGATTGGTGAAGGGATTAATTGAATCTTTGTGGGAATGGTCTAATATGAACCGTAAATTTATGACTGCAGTAAACAAATTCCTAGTGTTAGTTAAATTAACTGATAACGGGACATGATCAGATCTTATGTAGCCAGGGGAGCAGGACTTTAATGCTGATTTTCCCCTTCTTTGAGTGTTACTTAAAGCTCAGAAGTGGCCTCACTATTTCCAAATGGGGAATATTGATTGCTTTTGCAACATGCACATTTAAGAGCGAGCATAACCGAAATTTAGATGTCTACGAGAGATTTTTCCTGGAATCCTTCTATAAAAGATGCATTCTATTCCTATAAAATAGGAGGCGATGGAATCCCATTTATGTATCTGTTTTTAGGTTGGCATAACCAAAGAAAGAAAGTGCCAAGAAACAACACATACCTTTCACTTTTTTAAGGTTCAGGATGGGAGACGGAACTTTACTTCACTGAACCGGCACTACGATTTGTTTGTTGGCTCCTACCACTCGTCCCTCGTTCATCTTTCGATAGATTGTCCTTCATCCCTGGATGACTAAGGCCAGTAGCGGCACTAGCAACTTACACGGTATAATCTCCAACCGATACTTCAACGAAAGCCGGTACTAGGTTTGCTAATGCGCATTCTCTCAATCTCTAACTCAGAAAGAAGATTGACTACACTCTCAATCTCTAACTCAGACGTGGTCCGAGCACGTGAAACATCTGCGATCCGATCTGACTACATATCATTTTCATTCTTTCTGTTGACATTAATTGGAGTGTGGTATGAAATATTTCTCCTTGCGTACGTGTTATGTGCTTAATTAATATATAGATATATATTATTTCCCTCCGTATTAGCTTCTATAAGGGCTCAACTTCGTAGGGTTAGTTGTCCTGTACTTTTGGAGACAAATATCTCGTCAGCTTATTGAATCTATAAAGGAGATTAGGGTTTTTGGGTCAAGGGCTCAATTGCAACCGTAGACCCGTTGTAAGCCTGATTCATAAATATGAGATACAGGCTTTGTTGTTCTATTGTTGTTTTATCCAATTCAGTCAAGCTAGGTTCATTAAAGTACTTACAACTAGGGTTCTGTGTTAAAG